AAACCAGGAGCTGTCAGTCCTCCTTGCCAAGGGTGCAATCGAGCCTGTGGACCCCATCTCACAGCCCGGGCTTCTACGCGACCTACTTCCTGGTAAGGAAGAAAGGCGGTGGACTTCGCCCAATCCTCGATCTGAGGAGACTCAACAAGTTCCTTAGGATTTTTACCTTTCCATGTGCTGAGCACAGCGGACGTTCTTCGTACCGTGGCCAGGGGGGAATGGTTCACGTCCGTCGAATTGAAGGACGCTTATTGTCATGTGCCTATTGTGCCTCATCACAGGCAGTTTCTTCGCTTTGCCTTCAGAGGTCGTCATTTCCAGTTCAGGGTGCTCCCATTTGGACTCTCCCTCTCTTGGACGACTGGTTAATCTGTGCACCATCCCGGTTACAGACGATCCAGGACACGGCTCTCTTTCTCTCTCATGTCGCCCGGCTAGGCCTCAAGGTGAACATGGAGAGGAGTTGTCTGAACCCCTCTCAGAGCCTAACCTTCATTGGGGTGGCTCTGGACACAGTCACTCAACCAGCGAAAACAGTGTTCTCGCCCCCACTCCTGGTAGACGTGATGCTTTATTCTAGCAGCAGCCGACTGGATAAACCGTCCTGCTAAAACTTCTTGTTTTTTCCAGCTAGGTGAAGGCAGTGCTCTCGCTCCCGCTCCCTCTGCTGGTAACATGGGTGTAGTTACATTACTTTTGTGTTCGGCGAGTAGGAGCGTTGCTCTACTCTTTCCGTTCAGCAGATAGCTGGTGAAGGCTGTGTTGTCGCACCCCGCTCCCGCCTACGCTGCATCTGGCATTCGTTATTAACTCAACCAGTGAGGGCAGTGTTCTCGCCCCCGCTCCTGATAGACGCGCTGCTTCATTCTAGCAGCGGCTGCCTGGCTAGGCTGTCCTGTTAAACTTCCTTGTTTAACCCAGCTAGGTGCGGGCCTGTCCATCTGCTGCACAGACTCTGCTGTGGGACGCCTTGGTGTCTCCCCAACAGGAAGGACCTCTTGTCTCAGTTGGAGGGTCGGATGTGGCACCCCGACCCCTGCCACCTCCAGCTGTGGGTCTGGCCACTGGGCCCGACCCACTGCTGAGCGACTGCATAGAGTCTGTTAGGAAGACTATTCTCAAATGCTAGGGCACAACCTACTCGTAGGCAGTACGAAAACAGGTGGAAACTGTTTTTTGACTGGTGCCAAGAGCGAAATGAGGACCCAGCATATTGCTCGGTACCTACGACCCTTGAGTTCCTTCAGTCCCTCCTGGACGACGGCCGGTGTCCCGCTACCGTCAGGGTGTATGTGGCTGCTATATCAGCTCAACACGCAAGGGCTGACAACAGCACAGTGGGGAGCAGTGGGGAGCCATAGGCTGGTATCCCTCTTTTTAAAGGGGAGCTCTGAGGCTTCGCCCCCCGAATATCCCAAGGGCCCCTACATGGGACCTGCCCTTGGTGCTGGATGCCCTATGCTTGCCTCCTGTTGAACCTTTGTTACAGGCAGAACTGAAGTGGCTCTCAGCTAAGACTGCTTTCCCTCTTGCCATCACCTCAGCAAAACGTGTAAGCGAGCTTCAGGCCTTGTCTGTGAACAGCTCGTGTCTGAGGTGGAACTCAGATGGCTCAGGTGTCACTTTATGGCCGAACACAGCGTTCCTCCCTAAGGTGCTGGCACGCTCTCATTTTAATCGGCCTATCCAGCTGGCACGGTTTGACCCCCCATCAGGAGAGGGGGAAGAGAGGTCGAGACTCCTATGCCCGGTGCGGGCCCTTAGAGCTTATGTCCAGACTACCGCTGACATGCGTCAGTCTGAGCAGCTCTTTGTGTGTTACGGTGGTCCTAGAAGGGGCTGTGCGCTCTCAAAACAGCGCTTGTCCCACTGGATCGTGGACGTCATTGCCCAGGCATACAAGGCGAATGACCGTCCCTTGCCACCTAGAGTAAAGTGCCACTCTACCAGGAGTGTCTCCACATCATGGGCGACCTGGAGAGGTGTGCCCCTGGAGGACATATGTGCTGCGGCCACATGGGCATCTCCGAGCACATTCGCCAGATATTACAGGGTGAATGTTGCCGCCCCTCACCCGCTGGGTGTGGTCCTCCTGCAGAGTCCGTCTAGGCCATCCTTATAGGTGAGTATTCAGACTTCCTCGTGACTCTGTTGATATAGGTCATCCAGTGCTAAAGCACCGCCTCTGGCGGTCAGTAAGTATGAAATAGAACGATAGTTACGTATGTAACTACGGTTCTATGAATACTGGATGACCGCCAGAGTTCTTGGTCACTCGGAATTTCGTGTTTCTGCGAGAAGATTCCATAGGACTGAGCCCGTTGACAGCACCGGAACTTATACCTTCCGGTGTCATACGGGGTCACACGTGACTTTGTTGATATAAATATTCGACCTACGCATGCGCGAGACAGAAGATATCCAGTGCTAAAGCACCGCCTCTGGCGGTCATCCAGTATTCATAGAACCGTAGTTACATACGTAACTATCGTTTTACTATATAATGACTTGTTTACTAGTTTGACTACATGATGACTTGTTTACTAGTTTAGTTTTACAATATGATTATTTGTTTACTAGTTTGACTACATGATGACTTGTTGACTAGTTTAGTTTTACTATATAATGACTTGTTTACTAGTTTGACTACATGATGACTTGTTGACTAGTTTAGTTTTACTATATAATGACTTGTTTACTAGTTTTACTACATGATGACTTGTTTACTAGTTTGACTACATGATGACTTGTTTACTAGTTTAGTTTTACTATATGATGACTTGTTTACTAGTTTGACTACATGATGACTTGTTTACTAGTTTAGTTTGACTACATGATGACTTGTTTACTAGTTTTACTACATGATGACTTGTTGACTAGTTTAGTTTTACTATATAATGACTTGTTTACTAGTTTTACTACATGATGACTTGTTGACTAGTTTAGTTTTACTATATGATAACTTGTTTACTAGTTTAGTTTTACTATATGATGACTTGTTTACTAGTTTTACTACATGATGACTTGTTGACTAGTTTTACTACATAATGACTTGTTTACTAGTTTAGTTTTACTATATAATGACTTGTTTACTAGTTTGACTACATGATGACTTGTTTACTAGTTTAGTTTTACTATATAATGACTTGTTTACTAGTTTGACTACATGATAATTGTTTACTAGTTTAGTTTTACTATATGATGACTTGTTTACTAGTTTTACTACATGATGACTTGTTGACTAGTTTTACTACATGATAACTTGTTTACTAGTTTAGTTTTACTATATGATGACTTGTTTACTAGTTTAGTTTTACTCTATGATGACTTGTTTACTAGTTTAGTTTTACTATATGATGACTTGTTTACTAGTTTTACTACATGATGACTTGTTGACTAGTTTGAATATGTGATGACTTGTTTACTACATGATGACATGTTTACTAGTTTAATTTTACTCTATGATGACTTGTTTACTAGTTTTATTATACGATGACTTGTTGACTAGTTTTACTATACGATGACTTGTTGACTAGTTTTACTATACGATGACTTGTTGACTAGTTTTACTATGTGATGACTTGTTGACTAGTTTTACTATGTGATTACTTGTTGACTAGTTTGACTATGTGATGACTTGTTGACTACATGATGACTTGGTTACTAGTTTAATTTGACTATATGATGACTTGTTTACTAGTTTTATTATACGATGACTTGTTTACTAGTTTTACTATGTGATGACTTGTTGACTAGTTTTACTATACGATGACTTGTTGACTAGTTTTACTATGTGATGACTTGTTGACTAGTTTTACTATATGATTACTTGTTGACTAGTTTGACTATGTGATGACTTGTTGACTAGTTTTAGTATGTGATGACTTGTTGACTAGTTTTACTATATGATTACTTGTTGACTAGTTTGACTATGTGATTACTTGTTGACTAGTTTGACTATGTGATGACTTGTTGACTAGTTTTACTATGATTACTTGTTGACTAGTTTGACTATGTGATGACTTGTTGACTAGTTTGACTATGTGATGACTTGTTGACTAGTTTGACTATGTGATGACTTGTTTACTAGTTTAGTTTGACTACATGATGACTTGTTTACTAGTTTTACTACATGATGACTTGTTGACTAGTTTAGTTTTACTATATAATGACTTGTTTACTAGTTTTACTACATGATGACTTGTTGACTAGTTTAGTTTTACTATATGATAACTTGTTTACTAGTTTAGTTTTACTATATGATGACTTGTTTACTAGTTTTACTACATGATGACTTGTTGACTAGTTTTACTACATAATGACTTGTTTACTAGTTTAGTTTTACTATATAATGACTTGTTTACTAGTTTGACTACATGATGACTTGTTTACTAGTTTAGTTTTACTATATAATGACTTGTTTACTAGTTTGACTACATGATGACTTGTTGACTAGTTTAGTTTTAGTATATGATAACTTGTTTACTAGTTTAGTTTTACTACATGATGACTTGTTGACTAGTTTAGTTTTACTATATGATAACTTGTTTACTAGTTTAGTTTTACTATATGATGACTTGTTTACTAGTTTTACTACATGATGACTTGTTGACTAGTTTTACTACATAATGACTTGTTTACTAGTTTAGTTTTACTATATAATGACTTGTTTACTAGTTTGACTACATGATGACTTGTTTACTAGTTTAGTTTTACTATATAATGACTTGTTTACTAGTTTTACTACATGATGACTTGTTGACTAGTTTAGTTTTACTATATGATAACTTGTTTACTAGTTTAGTTTTACTATATGATGACTTGTTTACTAGTTTTACTACATGATGACTTGTTTACTAGTTTTACTACATAATGACTTGTTTACTAGTTTAGTTTTACTATATAATGACTTGTTTACTAGTTTGACTACATGATGACTTGTTGACTAGTTTAGTTTTACCATACGATGACTTGTTTACTAGTTAACACATCATAGTTACTGTTGCTAGGGTCCAGCCGGACGGCGTCCTCGCGGCAGAGGTAGGAAACTGTGGATCCAAACACTGTGCTGTTGTCATGACTACCAAACACCAGGTCGGCCATGGCAACCGCATGTGGAGTCCCACAATCCACCACTGTGAGAGAGAGGACCAATCAGCTGTCAGTGTATAGAGAGAGGACCAATCAGCTGTCAGTGTAGCGTATAGAGAGAGGACCAATCAGCTGTCAGCGTATAGAGAACAGTGAATCCTGAGAGAGATGATTTCTGTTGTTATTTAGTATTATTAATAAAGTGTGTCAGCTGGACTCTGTGTATTAATATATGTAACATTATGACAGAAACACAACACTGAATATCCTCTCATCTGTACTATACATACTACATACTTTATACTACATACTACATACTTTATACTACATACTACATACTTTATACTACATAATTTGTATTAATATTCTAAATAAAGTGTGTATTAATATATGTAAAAGTATGACAGAAACACAACACTGCAGATTCCTTTCATCTGTTTTATTAAAATTCATTTTAGACTAACTGCAGTTTCTCTATCGGCCAATAGGAATCACTCTCTGACTAATCTTGACTGTGATTGGTTAAGATGCTGGACAAAGCCCGCCTCCTCCTCCCAGTGTCTACAGAGAAAAGAACAACGCTTTAAAGTATAAATAATACTTTATACTACATACTTTATACTACATACTACATACTTCATACTACACACTATATACTACATACTATATACTACATACTTTATACTTTATACTACATACTACATACAACATACTACATACTTACATACTTTATACTACATACTACATACTACATACTACATACTTTATACTACATACTTTATACTACATACTTCATACTTCATACTACATATTACATACTACCTACTTTATACTACATACTACATACTACATACTACATACTACATACTACATACTACATATTACATACTACATACTACATACTACATATTACATACTACATATTACATATTACATACTACATACTACATATTACATACTACATATTACATACTACATACTACATACTATATACTACATACTTTATACTTTATACTACATACTACATACTTTATACTACATACTATATACTACATACTTTATACTTTATACTACATACTACATACTACATACTTCATACTACATACTTTATACTACATACTACATACTACATACTTTATACTACATACTATATATTCATACTACATACTACATACTTTATACTACATACTACATACTACATACTTCATACTACATACTACATACTTTATACTACATACTACATACTTCATACTCCATACTACATACTTCATACTACGTATGTAATACTATATACTTCATACTACATACTACATACTTCATACTACATACTACATACTACATACTTTATACTACATAATACATACTTCATACTACATACTACATACTTCATACTACGTATGTAATACTACATACTACGTACTACATACTTTATACTACATACTATATACTACATACTACATACTTCATACTACATACTTTATACGAAATACTACATACTTTATACGAAATACTTTATACTATATATTAGGAATGTAACGATATACCGAATATCGCGGTATCGCGATAAATCAACGTCACAATCCCGTCGTGAGACTGACAAAATCAACCGCAATTTTTTTTAATGTTTTTTTTTTTTTAAACCTTTATTTAAGCAGGTGGTCCCATTGAGATCATCGATCTCTTTTTCAAGGGAGACCTGTCCAACATGGCAGCAAGTAGGTTACAACATGAACATAAAACAACAGATAACACAAAAGGACAGGTGTTATGCCGTGTTATGCATGCCCACCGAGATATGCATGCACCTCGCGGGAGCGCGCACAGCGTAAAGCAAAAGCTCCCAGACATTTCAACGATCTGTACGGCAAAGTACGGTTTGGAAACTATATCATTTCCTTTTGGAGGGCATGCATAACACGGCAAACACCAGAGCCTCGCTGCGGGGAATCTTTGGCGCTGTTCCGAGTTTGTTCTAATCTGTAAAAATGACAGACTGCTTTCAGATTTTTCCGTCATTGTTAAAAAAGATATTCGGTTAACGCGACCACTGCTGTCCCAGCAACATCAGTGCCAGCAACATCAGTCCCAGCAACATCAGTCCCAGCAACATCAGTCCCAGCAACATCAGTCCCAGCAACATCAGTCCCAGCAACATCAGTACCAGCAACATCAGTGCCAGCAACATCAGTTCCAGCAACATCAGTACCAGCAACATCAGTCCCAGCAACATCAGTCCCAGCAACATCAGTACCAGCAACATCAGTACCAGCAACATCAGTACCAGCAACATCAGTTCCAGCAACATCAGTACCAGCAACATCAGTCCCAGCAACATCAGTCCCAGCAACATCAGTACCAGCAACATCAGTCCCAGCAACATCAGTCCCAGCAACATCAGTACCAGCAACATCAGTCCCAGCAACATCAGTCCCAGCAACATCAGTACCAGCAACATCAGTACCAGCAACATCAGTCCCAGCAACATCAGTCCCAGCAACATCAGTACCAGCAACATCAGTACCAGCAACATCAGTACCAGCAACATCAGTACCAGCAACATCAGTACCAGCAACATCAGTCCCAGCAACATCAGTACCAGCAACATCAGTACCAGCAACATCAGTACCAGCAACATCAGTACCAGCAACATCAGTCCCAGCAAAATCAGTACCAGCAACATCAGTCCCAGCAACATCAGTCCCAGCAACATCAGTACCAGCAACATCAGTACCAGCAACATCAGTCCCAAGCGAGAGAGA